AAAAATTGTTTGTATGAATATTATTAGATTTTAAGTCAATATCATAAATATGTTTACTTTGTTCATTACTTAAAATATTATATGCTTCATTTAATTTTACAAAATCATTATGATTTCCAGTATTATTATTATCAGGATGCATCTAAAAAATATTGAAAATATATTGAAAATAAAACAATTTTTGGTTTGGAAATATTTTGTAAATATTTATAAGAATAAAAGAATAAGCTCACTTGTTTTGATAATTTAATATAGGCATCTCTTATTTCTTTTTGAGATGCATTTGGAGATATTTGCAATTCTTCGTAATAAGTACATTTACATCTTTAATAAATACACTAATAATTAATTTATATAATTTAACTGATATATATATATTTAAATATAATATTTTAAAATTCTAACCTTTGTTGATTATATTTTCTACAGAAAACACGAATTAATATAGGTATTTCAATTTTGTACATACGATAAATTTTATCCATCTTTTTTAAATATTTCGCACATATAATTTAAGATTAATTTAACATGTCACATATTAAACACTATTATGATTTTGTACTGCAATAAAACTGACATTGTAATGACATATGTTATATACATATCATACATATATATATATATTTTGAATTATGCCAATCTTAAAATTATATAAAAATTATAACTAGAATTTTATAAATTTTAATTCAAAATTTTTTACATAAATTTAAGAAAAAATAGAAAAACATAGTTATATAAAAATTATTATTCTATCTTTTAATTTTTTGTTGTATGATATAATAACAATTAATTTTATCATGTTTTTTTTTCAAAATTATCAATTCATAATGATATATTTCGATATTGAAATTCGTACTAAAATCTATTTCATATTCAAATTTTTTTTAATTTTAAAATGAAAATTAAAAAAGTAACTATAAAAGTCATGAATTAAATATTTATTAAAAACCAAACTCAGATTTTATAATATAATAACAATTCTCATTTGTGTTTGGTACAGTATAAAATATATTACAATATGTATACAAGAAACATCCTTAATTATATATATAAGATAGGCCTCAAGCCCAGCTCGATGTCTATGCATTTCAGGCTTATCATATGTAATTTATGCAATATTTGTTATGCGTTTTGTATAAGCTCTAATATTATCAAAAAATTATTACATATATGTAATTTATATTGCATATTTTATGTACAAGTTGTACGTTACAATGAACAATAATGCAAGCCCTTATTAAAAAATATGAGATTAAATAATGATGTAAATATTTTGTTCATATTGTAAAAATTGACATATTATAGATATAGATTTTATTTAAATATTGGCTTGTCATTATAAATAATACTTCAAGAATCAAGTGCATTGGCACAAATAACTTTTGTCTATATTGCATATCAATTGAATCTATTTTATACATTTTATATAAATGCATTAGGTAAAAAACATACATTCAGTTTGCTAAAGATTCGCAATTTAATATGTTAATATAATCACATTCTAATAAAATCTCTTATTAAAATAACGATTAAAATTTTTAACTTCAATCAAAATATATAAAAATTTTTATAATTATATCGCTTTGTTTTTATTTTTATTTTTAATGTTTTTAAATGTTTATATTACTAGTTTAATTTGTAAGAAGATCGTAAACTTATTCAAAATTTTCTATAATATTTGTTACGAATATTTATGTACGGTCTTCTTAAAATTCAACATACACATATGTATGTGCATATAGGCAATAATAGAATAACTCGCTTTTTGTCTCACGATTCATAATAGTTTATGAAAATTAAATTTGTCACTTATTAGTAGTAAAATATATATATATATATATACGTGTTATGAAGTTTTTACTGTTTTTAACAATTGAAATATGAAGGCAAGTTATTCTTTTTCGAGCAATCTGAATGTTTTCAAGATCACTACAAATTTAGAGTATATCTTTATTCATTTTTATTTTCTCGCAAAGGGACGTTTGAATATTTTGGAAAATCTACAGCATCTACTGGATTTTTAACTTTAAAACTAGGAAATAATCCCGTCATACTAGTTCTAATATTATATCCTTTAGAGTAACCATCCCAATGATTTCCAAGAACTTCAATTAAATCTCCTACTTTTAATTCGATTTCACCATCCTTTCTTGGTTTATGATCTAAAATAACTTGATGAGGATGTGAATTTTGACCTCCATAATAGTAAATATCATCCAATGACGCAAAACGATTATAAGCATCTGGATAATATGTTTGCATTAATTCATATGCTACGCGGCATACTTGAGAACTGAATGTACACACCAAATAATCACATTCGGATAAAAGATGTATATCAATAATTATTCCTTGTAAAGAAGAATCTGAATATCGCTTTGCAACTGAAGCTGTTTCTGCTATTTCTGGATCTGCTATTATTTCATAATTAGAATAACGATTTCTCGCTGTTGTAATTACCTTCGGATCATCGCTTGCTAAAAAAACTCTTTTCACTTCTGGTTTCGTTTCAAGTTCATCAAAATATTGATCAACTTTAATCATATATTCATCTATATCGTGATAAGCAGCTTCAGTGCCAACTTTATCAGTTCTACGTACATGGATTCCAACAATAGGTTTCTTGAAACCAAGCCTTTCCTTGGCATCATCTAATGTTTTTTTTACATGTTCTTGAGGTCGCATTAAATATTTCAAAACTTGACCTACCCACCATACTAGGGGATGGCCATGAAGTTTCTCTAATCTTGATGCTAAATCAGCTGGTACACTTGGTGGTTGATATCTTGGTTTTGGATAAACATTATCTACAATTGGCAAGGAGATGACTTGTTTAGAAGAGTCACCAGGCCAATTAGCGTGTGATGCTCCATTTGTAGATAGACATGTATCACTAAGTGGTTTAAAAACTGATTCCCAACCATCTTTATGATACCGCCAACCTTTAGATCTAATTATTAAAGTTCTTTCTGTGCCATAAGCAACCAAAAAGCAATATGTAATATGATGAATCTAAAATATATAATTTATTATATATTTAAATTTAATTTATTTATATTTAATTTATTCGTAATATTTTATATTATATATATGTTTATATTATATATTATATACATTATTTACCTGACAACCAAATCCACAACCTTTATTTAAACTGCAAATTAATTTTCTTGCTTTATTACAATCACTAGGATTTTGTAAATATTTGAATCTTCTTTGTACAAGATCAGATAATTCTTTTGTTTCTTTTTTACGCCATTCATCATAACCATCTGCTTTTGTTAATCTATCAATATCTATTATAAGGGATTTTTTATGATCCCAAGTATTTTTTAATGTATCCTGTATTCTTTTTTCTCTTTGATCATAACTAAGTTTATCAATACCTTTTCTAAATTTGCTTAATTCTGCATTAATATAATACCTATTTAAGCATTATTATATTATATATAACATTCCCATTTTTTTTATATAAAATAATAAAATATATTTCAATTTATATAATAATTAAATTATATTTACCACATTTCTTGAACATTATTTCTTATTCTTCGTCTTAATTCTTCATATTCAGAAGAAGGAATACTATGCTTTACATTATCTTGATGATCCAACAAATCTTCATAAATAGAAACTTTTTCAAGTTTTTCTTGTATTGAACCTAAATGATCTCCTTGAATAGACTTTGATCTTTCTCTGGAAATTATGTTATCCTGTACAACCAAAAGATCACAATGCTCTTTGTTTTAAACTTCAAATAAATCTGTCTATTTTTATAATTTTTATTATAAACTTACCCTAAAACTATATTTTTTAATGCTTCATTTTGTCTTTTAAGAATTTCAAAATCATTAACCATTTGGGCTAAACGTTGAGCATTTTCTTTATTTGTAGGACTTTCATTATTATATGATAAATTATTAGTTTTAAAGATATGTGATACTGATATTATTAATATCAAAAGCCATGTAGCTAATAATGCTAATCCTACTTTTCCTAACCAACCAGGTCTTCCTGACCAAAATGTTGCCATTTTATATTGTAATAATAGAATTATGACATTTAATCAATTGCATTACTTCATCTATAAATGTAAAATTATCATTCCTTTAATAAAAAATTTCATGATACAGCAATTGTTATATAATAAATATAAAATATTACATTGTAGCATAATATTCTTTAATATATAAAAGATTTACTTAAATTTTTTTATTAAGCAATTAAGAAATAGATATTATAGATATAATAACAATGCAAATTACTTTTAATAAAGTCACTTTAATAAAAAATTATGTATGTATAATTGTGGCACATAGATTGAAGTTAAAAAAAAAATGAAACATACATACAAATATAACATAGTACAAAAAATATTATAAAATTATTAAAAGTTAATATTAACATATACAAATAATATTATTACGAATTAAATAAAAATCAATCTTACCGAATACTTTCACATCTTTATAAAAATATTTGAAACATGGAATAAGAAACATTTGTCATTATTAAAGTAATCATAGGAACAAATTCTTTAGATTAAATTTGCTTTCATATGCGGTTACAATCATTAAACACTGTTTCATGTGGCAAGCCTCAACAACATGAGTTATAATCTATATATATTATGAGGAGTTTGCACTGAAATCAAGTCAGGAATTTTAACCAATAACTAGGTTTTATAATTTTAGAATATAATTTTCATGAATAAAATTAATATTATAGTTATTTTTTCATTTAATAAATTATTTTTATAAGATGTACAAAATTTATTATTAACAATATTTCATATATATTTTCACATTTTCAAAAATAGATAATTGTATTCTGATTTGAAAAATTAATGATATAAAATATTTGAAAAATTATGGCATAAAATATTACAAATGCAAATAACTTAGTAATGAAATAAGTTTAGAATGTGAATGTTATGTTAGATGGCGGTAAAAATGGTACGTTTAATTTTAGTATGAAACACTGCAATCTATTTATTTCATGCATAATTTTATAGTTAACCTAAAATCTTGACATTTTAAGTACGGCATTGTGTAAATGTGAATGGACGATTAACGCCAAACAAAGTCCACAAACTTTTGTTTAAACGTTATTTTAAAGTTATTAACAAATTGATTATTAAGGTGAAAACAAAAATTAAATTAAAAAGTAACGGGTAGGAAAAGCATAAAATTGACAGAAATAACAGTATTGGGTTATATCGTGTCGCGGTATTTCTAAACGCGGGTTGGTTCTTTACCCTCCCCTCCCCTCCTATCTTGTGAATCCCTTCCGAAAATCGCGCAGCATCCTTGCGCGCGAAACACGCGTATGCCGGTGGACGCACATTGTGTGCCTGTACTTCGATGTACATACTTGTGTATAGTGTATTTTAAGCTTTAGTTTTACGGGATGTATGTGTGAAAAAACGAATCGTATATAATAATCGTAAAAAGATTAAATAGTATAAAAAGAAACGAAAGTTATTTGTCAATTGATTGTGAGTATAGTCATCACAGTTAGACGTGAAACTTGTACGTACATAAATCGAAAAAAGAACATTATCATTATACTTGCCATTGGTTTGGGGAAAAGAATTTGTAGTATTAACGACAATACAAAGAATATAATTTTGTGAATCTTTCGCTTCCTCCCCTCTACTTTCCTACCCCTAATTCCCTCTCGCCCGTTGATGAACAAGCAGTTGTCGTTTTTTGCATGTTTCACTTTTTTTCTCCGGCATCCCTTCAGTTTCGTTCATCCGTCGCAGAAACGGTTGTGCCGTTTAATAAAACTCGAGAAGTCGTATAGTCTAAGTTAAGTCCATTCGACAATTCTCTTTGTGTTCTTGTTTTCCGTGTCCGACAGTGTTGTCAAAATTCCGGCAGCACCGTTGTCTCAGCTGCCATTGCTGTACTGTCTGGCGTTCAATCGTAGCTTCATAAATACGATTCTCTAGTGATTATTCTCGTTATCATCATCTTTCTCATCGTTGTGAAAATAATGAAGATATCACATTGTTAAGAATTACACGTAGAACATGCTCGCAGAACAGACATAGCGGATGATTCTACCTTCAGCTCCAGACGCCGGTTCTGAGTGAGCTAACCTTCACAAAGTGAGGGTACTCTTATCTGTTTGATCATCGTTCATCGAGCCTGAAGCAGTGCTACAAATTGATGACAGAACGATGAAGTGGCTCGGTGCGAGTAGCGCTGGTGCTGCGGGTGAACCGGCACCTTCTATGCAATTACACCACCCTTCCGCAAATGGACATATACCTACGGTATGCACCTATTTTAATTTTTTTTGTATTTTTCTATCATATAATTAATATATATCGTAAACCATTTTAATATAACAATATTTTATTCGTCAATCAAAAATGTCATAACCTATCATTTTGTGTTTTTTATAACATCATTTTATATTTTGTAAAATATTTCATTTTATATGATAATATAAAAATTGATTATTCTATTTATTTCATTTTTATTTATTATATCACTAGTTATGCAAGAATTTCTATTCTATTGTTGAAAGATAGGAAAAAGATTTTTTATTGTACATATGCATGAGTATTGCATATGCTTATGCTTTGTTTGATCCATCATGGCAGATTGTTCTATAGAAATGAAGATGTTTTGGTTGCATTAATCAATTTATTTACTCTAGTGAAATAAGAAATAATCTTGTATATACTACTAATTTCTTTGTATTGTATAAATTTAATAATTTTATTATATATATCTTAATATCAAAAATTTTTTTTGTTCCTAATATTTTTTAATTAAATATAAATAATATATATATATATCTATATCTATATTTAAAAGAATATCATAATAAATTAAACAATAATATATTTTATTTTATATACATTAATTTTTAATTTTTTTATAATGAAAGCTTGAATGAATTTACTATAATATTATATTTATTATAATTTATTATAATATTTCTTATTTGTACATAAACTAATAAGTAATGATTATAATTTTTTTAGAGTATTATATCTTATCTAAAAGAATGTATTAATTAAAATCTGATAAATATGAATTTTATATATAAAAATTATTATTAATCAATTATATAAATATCAATTTAATATAAATATAATAATAATAATAATAAAAATGAAAATAATTTTTTATTAACAGGATGCAGAGCAATGTGGTCAAGTAATGGCTGGTGGTGACAGTATGCGTATACAACCTGGTCAAACGCATCAAATAGGTGTGAATAGAACTCAAGATGATGCTATGGTGGGTTATGTATTTCAACGACCAACAGAAGCAGAATTTAATGCTCAATCTTCAACATTTCAAACGAAACAAGCACCTCGTGCTTGGGCTCTTGCAGATGATGCTATTATTGATAATGTAAGTAAACTCAACATTTAAAATCAAAATATATTACATGTAAACAACATATGCAACATATAGATACACAATTGTTTAAAGAAATTATTAAATTTGTATTTCAATACTTTGAAAGACAAGTAAACAATAAATAAATGATTTTATAGATATAAAATATCTATATATTATAGATATAAAATAAATATATAATTTTATAAATAAATATATAATTTTATAGATAAATATATAATTTTATAAATAAATATATAATTTTATAGATAAATATATAATTTTATAAATAAATATATAATTTTATAGATAAATATATAATTTTATAGATAAATACATATCTATTTTTTTATTTAATTGTTTAAATAATTTTTAGAATCCAGAAAAATGGAAATATCCCATTACTAAACTGAGCGTACCACAACAGAATCAACCTCAACAATTGGGTCTACAAACTATGAATAATGTTCATCTACCTTATGAAATTCATCCAATGCAACTTAAAGTAAGTTATATATTTCTTAATATTATTATTAATAGAACAAATTTTATTTTTTATTTTGAAATTTGGAAACTAATAGTGATATTTTTTATGCCGCACAGAGTGGAGCACCAGGAACCGAACATTTAGTTTATCTTAATAATCAAATGACAGCACAACAACAAGTTGCTCTCTTTCATCATCAACAGCAACAACAACAGCAACAATTCAGAAATGGCCAGGTAAGCATATTTTTTATGAATACTTGTAATAATAGTAAAGAATTATAAAAAGACTTGAAAATGAATCTGTTGAATTCTAATTTTTTTTAAATGAATATAAATTATTTTCATTAAATTATTAATAAATTAAATAATATATATAAATATAATATATACAATGCATTTGCATTGAAATGTGCAATTTTTTCTTACTTTATTCTATTGATAATTATTTTCCCATTATATATTTAGCTCAAATTCAATAAAATTTAAATAATATATAAAATTTTAATATATTATTTACAATTTTTTTATTATATATTTTAATATTGAATATTAACATAAAAAATTTTTCATTTTAAATGCATATATAAAATCTTAATATATTGTTTATAATCTTTTTTATTATATATCTTAATCTAATATATAATTTATAATATATTATTAAATATTAACATTAAAAAATTTTAAATGCATTATTAAAAAAATGTTTTTTTTTATATATAAAGAAATTTCAAAATTTTAAATAATAAAACAAAATAATCTTGTATTTCATAAAAATATAAATTATTCGAGATATATTTAATATGTTTTGATAAGAAAATATATTTAACAATTTAAAAATATTTAAAACATTATCTACTAATTCATAGTTCACACTATAATTATGCATAATTTTTCGATCGAAATAATTCATTGTGAATTTTATTCTGATTATTATTTATATAATTAGAAAATACCATTAAAAATAATATATACAGTATTAATTATTGCCATCAATCTCAATGGCAATAATTAATAGTTAAAAAAGTTTATTATGGTGTAATTTTCTCGAAAAATAATGTTAGGATCAAAATTTAACAATACAGTTTTTGTTTGTTTGAAAATGAGTTGAAATGAAAAAAAAAAGAAGCATAAGTACTTCTATTTATTTTATAATTTTTTAAGAAAATATGACTGCATTTTTTTAATTATTTGTTTATTTTTGATACGAGATATTCCTTTATAATATTTTATATTTTATATATTCTACATACAAACTTTACTCTAATTAATTCTTTATAGAAAGTTCATTTTTATTTTGCTTATTATTTTCTTATTAAAATTTATTTTCGTAATTGTTAATGATTGCATAAAAATTTTTTTTTTTAATAGATATAGCTTTTTTGAATATCGATAGAATATTTATAGAAAATATTCGTAGAAAACAAAGAAATTTTCTTTATATTTCAGCATTTCAAATATTTTTAATTTTTAATTTTAATTATATTTTGGAGAATAATTTATACGTAATACATAAAAAATATATATATATATTTGTTATCAAAATCATATTATATTGCATGTAGACAATTTTTGAAAATTTAGCAATACACATTATGTTTGAGATACAATTGTCCTTCATTCATGACGTTAATATTTAGTCAGGCCAGGTAAATTTGCTTTAACTAAAATCAAATTTTCATCCGGTCGTCGTGAGAGGTCGTGCAAAATGAGAAGAACGATGATTGGTTAGTAGCATTCGCAAAACGGAATATAATTATCAAAGTACTCGGTAGAGGGCACTCCGTTCGAGCGTCGTTCTTTGTTTCGGTTAAGAGGGCAGTCTCTATCGAAGAGAGAGGCCGGTTAACGAAAATTCGAGGAGAGACAAGTAAGAGCATTGTGACGCCGAGCGTTATTTTAACGCCCGATAACGACGCATCTCACGATATGTCAGGACGGACGTGAATTTAGGCAAGAACATATAATTGACTTACTCCCCCTGTAAATAAACGCGAATTCGCGGAGTGAGTGTGCAAAGTGCGCGAGAGGAGAAAGGAGGTGGAGGAGGTGACGGCGGCGGCGGCGGCGGCGGCGGCGGCGGTGGAGGAGGTGGAGGAGGAAGAGGACGAGGAAGAAGAGAGGAGCATAGGTAGCAGTGGCAGCATCGAGGCACCCGAGGTGTCGAACTGTTTGACAGGCGGCCGAACGCTTTTCTTTCTCTCTCACACTCCCGTCTGTGGTGCCGCGATTTGTATTGTTCGGCCTGCGGTGTGGTGTGTTCCGTTTACAAGAGGTCTGCCTGTTTAGAGAGGAAAAACGAACGTGAAAACAACCAGGAGTGGTGTGTATTCAGTGCCGGCTGAATCGGCGTCCGCGCCCCGACGCCGCCGTTGACGTACGATTCACTAATTTTTCAACAACACATCATCGAAATTTTACGAATCTGCTCCAAAATAGCCTCGTTTATTGGATAGTGCGTGCTAAAGAGTGTGTGTTCAATTTTTCGTTCGCGTTGTTGGTGTACCACGGGGTTAACGGTGAATCTCTCGAAGGTGACGCGCCGTGCCGAGGGTACCTTGGAGACGGTGGAGAGTTTCGGTGTAGGGTACGGCCAGGGAGCAGGCACGAGTACAGGCGACTGGATGAAACCACCGGGGGATCTTTTCCTTTACTGCGACATGAAGGATTTGGGGGCCGATATGGTATTTATTTTCGTTCAATTTAACTTTTTTTTTTCAAAGTAACGTTTCTTTTTTCTTCGACGCAATAAAAGTTCCGAACATTGCGAATTTGTAGGTTAGGTTTGTTCCAAAGATTTTTATTCTGCAATGGAAACCTCCATGTTTATAGGGGACGAAGTTTCAGGAGGGGGACAACTCGATTCGCTTGTAGAAATCATTGATGTTACTCGTGTATTTTAATTTGCATAAAATACATAAATAATAAATAACAAAAAATATATTGACAAATTTGCGTTTCTATTACCATGATGGTATTTTATAACTTTTTGATCATCTTACACATAATGAATAATGTGTAACGGTGTATTTTTATTTCGCATCTCTTTCTTATTGGCGTTTTTTTCGTTTTTTCTTTTTTTTTAAATAAAAAAATATTATTCAATTAATAATATTAAAAAATTATGATCTTTTGTTTTCACTGTATTTCATATTATGATAATAAAATAGTATAGTGTGAATATTGATCGAAATATTTTATGTTCGTTTTTTCGATAGATTCAAAATATTCTTTTATTGAAAGTTAATTATATTATATATTTAATTATATTTAATTACATTAATTATATTGTTATTTGTGCAATAATTGCATTAACTATTGCTATTTTTTTATAATATTAAACATTCGAATATTTTTGTATAATATGCTGAATTTTAAGATTTTTTCTTAAACTTATATTTAATTTAAAAAAAAAAATATAGTTTTAATTATTTCCATAATTTTTAATCGTATTAATATCAAATATTTTATCAATATTGTTTCATAGTAAAATATTTTATTCTACATTTATTTACTACTTATAACTTGTAAACAACATAGCTGTTTAAATCGATAGTTCTTTAGAACGAACAAATTAACAATCTCGTTTAATAATATGTAATATGTAATAATATGTATTTAAAAAGCACTTTTGCATATTGCAATATTAAATTGTATTAATATCAAAATTAAATTTTGTATTGATCTTAATTTGTTTACTATAAAAATTGTAATAGATGCGTACTCTATTGTGTAATAATCATGGTACATATAACTTTTTGAAACTATTCACTTGAAGTTATTTCTATTATTAGATACTATAGAAAAGAATGGATTATCTAAATCGTGAGGAGAATATTCGTATGAACATGTTCTCACATGAAGGTATTCGATAGTTATTCAGCCAATCAGGTCTCCGAACTCGCTTAACCTTGTAATATAACAACGAATCCATTAGCATTGCCTTGTACCTTAATGATAGAAAGATGATTTTCAAATCATATTTTTTTTAATCGGAATTAGATAAAATGTTTGAATTTTAATATTCGAATTTGTTATAAAATATGAATAAATAATTTAAGAATATCAATGAGAATAGACTTCTTGTTATAAAAAAATGGAGAAAAATATTGTGATAGTTGTAAATTTGAATCCATGATATATAGTGTCGATACATTTTAACCATAGAAAAAATATATACAAGTTAAGTCCTTGCTCCTCCAACCATTTCTTCACTGTTTACGTCTATCTACAGTAAAATGCTCATAGTTTTGTTCTTCCTTTTTCTCTTTCTTTCCTTGTATTCTCTGTCTTTTATACGTAAACAAGTAAAGCAAAGGTACGGGAGAGTGTTCATCTTGTTTTAGGTTAATGTACTTTCGCACGAACTCTTGATGGGATTGTATTGGAATATAATATAAAAACACATTCTTGTTATCTGGAATCTTAATTTGTCTATAATTGATCTAATAATCAATCAATTTCTTCATTTTGTTTATTTTATAAATATTACATTTTTGTTTATTGTTACTTTTTTCTTGTTCTTCTTTTCTTCATGTTTGGACGAGTGCCATTTAAATTTATACGGCTTTATATTTTGCATGTTTCCCCTTGCTTGTGGTTCCCCCTTTGGGTGCACCTAATCGATTGAAACACTGTCAGGGTTCTTTCTGAACGGTCGTAATACATGTGAACAGTGCGTGTGCCGAAAAACTCAATGAAAATTTTTATTGAATATATAATTTATCTATCATTTACGATTTGCAATTTATAAATAAAAATTCTTTTGATGATTTTTTTCTTGTAATTTTAATGTAAGATCTATGAATATAATGATCTAATTTGTTATTAATTAGTTAATTTCATAATTAGATAATTTCATAATTATTTTCTAGTTTATTTATTATATTTATATTCTATTTTATTTATCATACAAAATATTCTTATCAGCATCTTTTTTACGAATTTTATGATTGGAATGTTTCATTCCAGTTGCATCGAATGTTTTTATTTGGCTTACCGACTGAGATGCCAATTCGAACGAACTCCCTTCGAAACGTGTATTAACGATGCTGTATTGATAAAATTCTAAAAGATAAATACATTTATCTGCAAATCAAATGTGCTATACCATGCTTTTCTTGGATATAAACGATAAATATGCTTGGAGGGATATTGATTTGCGTGAGTCATTCTATCTCTTCTAGTTGTTTCGAGGTTCAGGGTTGACTTTACTTGCTACAAAATGTTTTCAATTATTTCGTTATTATTATTATTGATTTTCGATCATAGGAAAAATTTGTATATAATTTGCGAACTTCTAAAAATGTCATAAAAATTTATAGTTAACGTGTTAATGTGTACGATGTAACACGTTCCAAGGAAAGTTGGAACTGTAATCCTCGCCAATTACGGATGTACTCACCATAAAATATTACATATAATGTTACAAGATAAAAATATCAGGTTGTCACCTCATTGCAACGAACTTTCTCTTCTCTTCGAGCGACGGTAACAGATGCTTACGAATAGTTATGTAGTTAACGCCCACGATTCGCAAATCTCTCCGCGATAATCGTTACACAAGATCAGTGACGCTCTTCAATTATGTTGCATCCGTGTTTCTTATCTGTGACATGTTAACGTTTCATAGAAAACAAAAAAAAAAAACAGTAATCGTACAGAAGAAATCAATTCAAAAGACACAAATCAGGAGACAAGAATTCTTCGTTTTATCTTTGCCGGCAAGTTATCATAGTTTCTTTTTTATCAAAATTCTTTTTTTGAACTGAGTGGCGCTCCGAGATTCTCATGTAAACTCAATGTTTCCTCGCGAATGGTAGGAATTCTCGGAAAAAGTAAACAACCGGCGATGAAATATTCGGACTTGAATTACGGCCAACACTATGGTTGACTACGTTGACCGGTAAAGACAGGACTGGTATAAGAAACTACTCCTACACGCGTGCATTATCGTATTCTATTCGCGATAAAAGAAGAGTGAAACCAGTTTCCGATTTCTTAAATGACGTCATCATCGAAAGAAATGTCCTGCAGTATACAAAGAAAGTATCAGAGGATAATTGGTTTTTTTTTTTGAAATTAATATAGATTAAATGAGAATGCCCGTAATCGAATGATAGTTAAGAGAAATGTTTATTGACATCGGCTTATATGTCAGTGAACTTATTCAAAGCGTCATCGATAATCGATAGTTTGTTCCTGATTGGAGATTTAGAGCGAAGCAACTTACTTGTTATTATTCAGAAGTAACGTATAAAGGAACAGTGTTGCGTATACCTATTGTTTCAATTTCAATGGTATTTCTATTCCTTCTTATTTAAATTCAGAAAAGTTCATATTCTGATGAAAAATTATTTATAAACATTAATTAATGAAAATATTAATTTTACATCTTTGATCAAAATCAAAAATTGGTTTAAATATTTTTTGATTTTAAATATAATTTAAATACAATATGTATATCAAGCTAATTTTTAATAGTAGACATAATCGTTTCGTATCGTATAATCTGTTTTTTTAATTGCGTATTTTCACTCGATAGAATTTAAAACCTAAATCAAATGTAGATCTGCATAAAATCTTTGTAAATTTAAATCGTTTTCTCTTCTAAATTGATTTGAATAGAAGTATACTGTTACTCTCTTCATTATCATATCAAGACTGTAGAGAACCGTGATGTGTAAATTTGTATATAGAAGGGCAGTATGATTTGATCAATAATGAGCATAAATTTTGTAATGTTTTTTTTCTCAGTCATACGAACGCGTCGCTTACCTCTTCGCATAATATTCTATCGTTTATGCCGTAAAGTGACGTATCGCGTCGTGACTTGTAGTGACGTGACGCGCATGTCGTTGAACCTAAACGCATCGGTTACGCTTGCAGATTCGTCATCGAGAAGAGCAGAAAAAATAGGAGAAATATATTTTCACATATCTTCTCGTATAATCAGTATTGCGTTAATTCATATCATAATGTCAAAACATCGATTTACGTATTTTGTTTTCTATTTTTCTACGACTATTAAGATTATTTACGTAACATTTTTACGAGCATCTTCAAGCTATATCCCTTTAAAAACTTCGTTTTAACGCATTTTCGTTTTCTCGATTAAAAATCCTATATAAATGATGAACTATAATAGCAAAAGTGTAATAGTAGTGATTTCCAAATTTCGCATCATCGTATTTATTAAAAATCAAGTCAAAATAACAAAATGCAAAAGCACCCCTATCCACGCGTTCGTCCCTAATATGTGTTTACTGCGCACGCATTTAGCTCACGCAGGCGCACGCATACGCATAAACCATCGGAGAAAGAGTCGGAAAGGGGTAGAGAGGAGGTCGAAGGAAAGATGAAGAAAGAGAGAGAACAACAGGGTTCGCCTCCCTCGTGCTGCTGATTCTCTGCGAGGACAGTGGCCGTGACCCGAGGCCGAGGGGCCTGGGGAGGGGTCGGTGGCCCCGTGGCAGTTTAGCGACGACATCCACGCTGCCGTCCCACTGGTGGGGGAACCTCGTGGGTGTGCGGGGTGGGTAGGGAGAAGTTGGCTGCCTCTATGGTGGGGGGGGTTTGCTGTGTAGTCGTATGTGGTGGGGTATAGCTTAGGGGTATAGCCAGCTATCGTTGGCTTTGTTCAATGAAAGAGAGATCCAGTATTCTTTCGTCTCGTCTCATTTTCTGTTTCTTTTTAACTTTCTCTCTCTCTCTCTCTCTCTCTCGTTCGATATCCCTTCGTCTCGATCTCTCGCTTGTTCACCCTCGTTTTTCGCCCGATCCTCCCTACAACGCAGTTGCGGCTAACGTGCAAAAGTGCTTCTGCTGCTGGTGCCGGTTCGAATGGATAGAATTATATCATTCTCGTCTAACGAACGAGAAACGACGACGGCACATCGTTTTACCTTCTTTTTCTCTTTCGTTTCCTCGTTTCCCTCTCTTTTTCCCTCTATTCTCTGTCTTCGCTGAACGTGCAAAAGATTTCGCTGACCGGTTTCAGGGAACGGAATGCTACCGTTTTCGCTCCGCTAACAAACAAACTTCGAATGAACGGGAAAATTTTTTCTTGTTTGTTTGTTTTTGTTTTTGTTTTTTTTTTAATATCATCCGTAATTCCTCGTTTACGTGCATCCAATGCATTTAGGATGCACGTAAAATATTCGGAACAAGTTATCATAATATAGAATCAAGAAGTTCTCCTTTTCGAAATTCCCCTTTCGAGGATCGGGAAAATTTTGCGATGGGTTTTCTCTTTCTCGTTCGTTCGCTTTTCGACCTCTTCCCTTCTCTTTCTCCCCATAGTCGTGCTTAACGTGCAAAAGCGTCTCTGCCGGCCGGCGACGCGGTCGATACTCACGGCGTATCGCCCCCGGTTGACCGAGCCTTACCCTTAGCCTTACCTTAGACGAACCTTTAGACGTATCCTCCGTTCATCCTTCCATTTCGTAGCTTTGATTCGCATCTCATTCGTGTGCGTTAAGGAGAATTTGGCAGTGGTTTTAGTTCAATACCACGAAATTCGTCGTGACAGGAAAGAACAATGGAAATCGTCGACGTATGTCGTATATATAGCTGGCTCGACCATGTTTTCTTCGTATTCTATATGTATTCAGAATGACGTGAAAATTAATGTAATCCAACGTCTCGACTATTGAAGAAAAAAGAAACGAACTAGAAACTTTCCACTGTGTGAAGTGATGCGGCAATCTTTATACGACTTTCAAATTTTTTTTTCCCTTCATTATTTTCGCGTCGCCCTGTATTTTGAAGAAAGAGGTCGTATCGCATGACGGCACGTGTCGCGCAATCTGGGAAATCAGCGACGTAACATTAATACGTTCCCGATTAACTAAGCAGGGACCGTGTTCGAACGTCATCGATGCATACGAATGCATACGAGAACATTGCACGCCAAGTCCTCTTGGAGAGCACTTTAACCACCGTTGTGGTCAGCAACGATGACGGCAACGATGCTGTTACAAGCAAGAGAGAGATAGAGAGGGAAGGGAGAGAGTAAAAATGAGAACCGATGGAATGGAACGAAATGCAAGTTGGGGAAAAAAAAAAATGATTCCGTAAGATGATGCAAACGAAGATTCGCTTTCCAATTTGACATGTATCGAACCTTCCTCGCTCGTACACTTCTTTGATTATTCCACGTTTTCTCCCGTGGGATTTCTAACCGGTTTCTAAACTCGTACGACCCGTTCGTATTTTTTTTTTTTTTTTATGTTCCCTTTTATCCGCCGATTTGTTGAACTAGGTGAAAATCGTACGAGCCTTGGCTAAGAATCAGGACTCGAAATTTTATAGGTAGAAGAACGTTTTAGAACTAGCTCTCGCGTGACTCTATTTCGTTGACCGTGTGACGCGTGAAACGTTTCTTTATCGTTTTGTTTTTCTGCGGTTTACATGTGAAGCGATACATGCGGAAAATTGATAACTATTAATTCGCTGCAAAGGACACACGCTAACATTTTTTTATTCAACGACAAGGAATATAATTAACGCGCGATTGTCGATCCATCGCAAACGATAAACAGCGTCGTTTGATATTTCGTGGTTCGCGTATATTCGAGTTGGTATACCTACTCGGTGAATGACGCACATGCTATTGTACGTGATATCGTTTGCTTGATCAATAAAATATAAATATCGCGTGTTTGTACCTGTATATATATATATATATCCGAAACGCATCGGCTTCGTCGTTGGAAACTCGTGAAATCTCGAATCATGCTTATTCCCGCGCTCTTTTTCCTTTTTTTTTTTTCCAACGTCACGCCGATGAATCATGTTGTTACACCTAGAAGACTCGTGTTGCGTCTTCTTGATGTACCGGTTAAATAATCTGGCGCAACGCGCGATTTGTCGGAGCAAGTGTGAAACATTGGCTTGGAAGCATCGCCGATGCGGTAATGTTGCGATACCACGCGTTGCGTATGTATACACTCGATCTCTTGATATCATTTTACCAACTACTACGCATATCGGAATTGAATTCACCGAGAACCGATTCACCAAACTTGTGAAACCGCTTGTAAATATCGTGATTTAAACGATCGATGAAAACGCATATATATGTATACGTTTATATATATATATATGTCGACGAAACGATAATTATATATGAGAGTTGATAAAAAACCGATTCTCAAAGAATTCAGATATATAGAGGAAACGTTCGATTGGAACGTTTATATAAATTTCGAAGGAAGGTTGACGTCTCGCGATGAATAGTTTACCCGATGAAAAGAAGGGACGTGAAAGAAGAAAACGGGGCGAGCTTCGAGCTGAATCGAAACTCCCCTCTTCGGTACTTTCATTTAACGATCCGTAGACCGGGCGCGAGTGACGATGCGGACGAAAATGCATCGAGACGCCCGCACTCTTGAGCTGCACTGTCACCATCGCACGTGCAGTATACCTGCATCTAGGATCCCGCAATCTGCGGACGATGCTTCCCTCCATCCCCACCGCCTCTCCTGGTTACGTCACTGACCTCCAGTTAGGTGAGGTCGGGAACAGTGCAGCAGAGTTCAGGTCACGACGGAGCATAACGACTCGTCTCTGTTTCCGATTCGAGTCTTTCCCCTGCCTCTCCATCGGGATTACCTTTTTCGCGCCGAAACTTTGCGATTCCGGCCAACTTGCCGGTTGATAAGGCCGGTATCGATATTTCTAGTTCCCGATAGAAAACTAACACAATTTTTGACTATTGACAGTGCACAGAGTCTTGTCATATCATTTGGTACACTCTGCTGTAATAAAAAATGGAAATTATAATCTTCGTAAAAAGATGTAAAGGTACAAAGGAAGACTGGCCTCTCAAAACGAAAGGTATATACACACGTTTTTTTATTCCATTAATAAAAAAAAAAAAAAGGAAGTGCATGTGCAGTGTATCAAGCCGGTTGATCAGCTGTACACGATAATATATATGCTAATTTTAAGCGGATCCCTGTAGTTCGTTAGTGTAATTAATACGATCGTTTCGCATTCGTATCTTTCACTGCACAAAGCACCACCAAGCTCTTGGGAGTTTCGTGTCAGCACGCGCCACGTTTGAAAACGTGTTCACTGACCCCGTGGACTTACGACCCGTTTTCTCATATTGTTTCAGATCGCTCCCTCGGCAAAAAAGCTTTGGGGCGTGGACGAGGGCGGCTCCAAGGACGAAGGGGGTGTAAAAGGTGGTGGGATACTTCACCTGGGCGACCACCAGATGTGGCGAGACTCCACCTGGAGCACCTCAGGTACGTTTCTCCACGTTTGAAACGTTGATATTTACGAACGAACAAAACTTTCAAGAGCGCGCCCTCTCTATATCTGCCTCGTATTCACGCGTTTCATAATTATATCACAGTTTCTATTACTTTCAATGAAACACACGCGGAAACGCTCGGCTCATTGACTAACCGCAGCGGCGTACACACTATCGGCGTGCTATCGAGCGTACTGACACGTATCAATGACAATAGGGCTGAGAATATTTGGAATAGGGGGTTTCGAGACGGGGTATATAATCCATGAACGGGGTTAATCGGAATCGATAATTCATGGATGGCAGACATTAACGCCTGACCGCTCTACGTACGCCCGTCCGTCCTCGCTCCTCCGTGCCTTATCTTTCCTACGTGCGTTTGAAAAAAATTAGAGATGACCCTTGTCGTGTTTATTATTAATTGCTGCCCATTAACACCACGCTATCTCCGCGACTTCTTCCTCCTTCCATCTGAAGTTTCGATGAAGTTCACACCAATCTGACCCAGTCGGGTCATACGTATGATTGGTCGGGACGCTTTCCATCTTTTGCCGCCTTTATGCTATGTTTCCAATCGGATGGATGATGATACCCAAGCCCTTTAAATCCCTCGAAATATCCCCCGATTTCACTCGCGTTCTTGAGACGCGAATTTAAACGCGAGCTCCGAATCGATATCCGTTCGGTCGGCATCATTCACGATTGATCGTTACATAACTTTAAGTCAATCGACTTGTGCGCGCTAATTTCCTCTCGAAAAAGAAAGCCGCGTGTCGTTAAAAAAGAAACGAGATCGCGTTGCGTGAGTCAGCCAACCGATGGAACACGATGTGTTACTTGTTCGAGAAATATTTATTCGCGATAAAATTTTATATATTTGCGAAATATATCTTTATATGTGTACATATATATATATATATATATATATATATATATATATATATATATTATTA